GCCGCCTCATTTGCAGGTTCCTAAGTGCTGCCCGAATACCTCTGGCGGCAGGTGTTGGAGAAGAGTTCGGGCTGCCGGAGGCCATACCCTGGACTCTGGGGGAGGAGGCCATTTTTCGGAAAGGGGGAGCCGCGTGAGCTGGGCCGTCCCAAAGAAGTCTGCTCTGGAGCCTGGCGCTTGTCAGCCACGGCCTGCTCTGTGCTCCCGGATCCATCTCTTGCCCACTTGTGGGGAAGATGGGCTCCCCCCCGGCTGCCTATCCTTTGCACCAAGTGCTTCACAGGATTAAGCATCACTCTGATGCCACCGGCCAGCGTCCCTCTCTGCAGGTGCCTCAGTATCTTGACACAGTGACTTGATGTGAGAGAGGAAAGACGCTCATTCAGATAGAACTGCATTCGCCCCTGTTTATGAGCTATACAAATAAAAATGTTTTTTAAACATTTACTTGTGCACATGAGAACTGGGGTACAGGCCAGAGGTGCCGGGGGATGAGAGGATTCACCAGAGACAGAGTGGGGAGCAGAACAGACAGATGGACGAAGTCCACTGCTGAGGGGGCAGTGGGGAGACAGGAGGGGCCTGCTGCACCCTGTGGGTCACTCCCTGGCCGGGGATCAAGCTCATGCTGCAGTGGCTGAGGAAGGCTTCAGGGTCCTACACTTTAACCCTTTGTGCCACTAGGGAGGTCCGAAAACATACAAATCTTTCGATAACTGCAAATTTAAAGCCATGAACATAAGCCCCAGTCAGCAAAATGATGCAATTTAAATCTCAGGGAATTTTTTATTTCCAGTTCTGACCCCAAAAATGAAGGGATGTATTTTGTCATCATTGTTGGGTCTGCAGAGACCAGGAACTAGGTGGAAATATTACTTCTGCTTGTCTATAACGAGGCACTCTGGGAATGTGATCCCAGGGGCCATGGAGGCGCCTGTAAACACCTGTCTGTAGTCCCCAGACATTCTCCCTGCCCCGAGGACAGCAGCCCGTGCATCCTGCTCCTCACTCGCTTTGCACCCGCCCATGTGTGAGATCTTCCAACCCCTGTAATACAGAGGAACACTGGCCCTTTCCGCAAGGTGAAGAGCACTTATTAGCTTCAGCATCTGCTTCTCCTAGGTAAAGTTATCTAACTGCAGAGATGTCGCTTTCTTGAACAAAGGAAAATTCTTTGAGGATCCCCCTTTGTTAAACCTTCAGCTTCGGGAGTAAAAGCCCTGAATCCATCAGCTGGAGATGGAAGTGCAGGAGTGATCAGTTGTTTCTCTTGTGCTGTGATCTAAGCAGTGGCAACAGCACTGGGGATGTTAGAGCAGATAAAGGTGGTGGGAAGACTTTGTATCTGCCTGTGTAGTGTTTTTATAAATGAAAAAAAAAAAGTGTGGTGGGATCTAACTCATCTAGAAATTGGAAGTTGATGATACAGGAACTAAGGACAGAGCATGTGCGAGCCACTGCAGTATAGTTAACACGGGTGGACTGGAGTTCAGGTTATCTTCTAGGCTTTAGACCCTATCTCTTATCTGCCCCGGGTAACCCCATGAAAGGAGCCAACCAGTCCAGCGTGTCCGAGTTCCTGCTCCTGGGGCTCTCTAGTCTGCCCCAGCAGCAGCAGCAGCTCCTGTTCGTGCTCTTCCTGAGCATGTACCTGGCCACGGTGCTGGGGAACCTGCTCATCCTCTTGGCCATCAGCGTGGACGCCCACCTGCACACGCCCATGTACTTCTTCCTCAGCAACCTGTCCCTCGTGGACCTCTGCTTCTCCTCCACCACCGTCCCCAAGATGCTGACCAACCACATCCTGGGCACTCAGACCATCTCCTTCTCGGGGTGCCTTGTGCAGATGTACTTCCTTTTCATGTTCGTGGACATGGACAACTTCCTGCTGGCCGTCATGGCCTACGACCGCTTCGTGGCCATCTGCCACCCCTTACACTACTCCAGCAAGATGACGCTGCGGCTGTGCGTCCTGCTGGTGGCCGTGTCGTGGGTCATTGCCAACCTGGATGTCCTCTTGCACACCCTGCTGATGTCTCGGCTCTCGTTCTGTGCGGACAACGCCATCCCCCACTTCTTCTGCGACGTGACGCCCCTCCTGAAGCTCTCCTGCTCCGACACGTACGTCAATGAGATGATGATCTTTATTGAAGCAGGACTGATAACTATTGCCCCATTTTTTTGCATCCTGGTGTCATACATTCTCATCACCGGCGCAGTCCTGAGAGTCCCGTCCCCCCAGGGGCGCTGGAAGGCCTTCTCCACCTGCAGCTCCCACCTCGCCGTGGTCTTGCTCTTCTATGGCACCATCATATTTCTGTATTTCAATCCTTCTTCCTCACACTCATCTGACACAGATATAGCGGCTGCTGTGATGTTCACAGTGGTGACCCCCATGCTGAACCCCTTTATCTACAGCCTGAGAAACAAAGACATAAAAGGTGCTCTTGGAAAAGTGGTTGCTGTGAAATCCTTTTTTACCCAGTAATGGAAGGGACCAGGAAAAATAAGGAGGGAGGTGATTTCTAAAAAAAAATCTCATTTTTAAAAAAATGTATGAAACTTAATATTTGTCTTCTGTAAGAGAAACAATTCTATGTTTGAACAAAACTCTTGACACAGACTCTCCAGTTAAAGTAGGAAAGAGAGGTCCTTTTATCAAGCAACTCAATTATTTCTACATCTATGCTCTCAAGTCAAAACCCACAAGGAACACACCTCTAGTTGAATCTGTTGCATTTATTATTATACCAGGGAGCACACACACCATACAGGGCATCTTTTACACAGATGCTAGAAAGGACTTAGTGTATGACCTGGGCTTCTGTGAGGTAATTTTAGTGAGGACTTGAGGAATTCGATCTTTGCTCTAGATTATTACTTTGCTGTCACAAAGTAATGATACTTCTGATTGCATATATGAATGTCTTACCTAGAAGGAGGGAAGTCTCTGAGGCTAAAGCTGTGATTGACAAAGTAGTCCATGATCACAGACTGGCCCTGTCTGGCTCATTCAAGCCAGAGGCCTTTCTGGTACTGATCCTGTATAAGTCTGTGTGTTCACTACGTGAGCTATGAGACCTCGCTGAGTGCCAGGTCAGCTCCCGGGAATCGGCTGGTTGCCCTATTACTGAGGAACAGACTGGCCTTCTAGTGGGAGGGTCTGGCTGATGTGGGGACTTGAGGGCAAGGACTCATTCAGGGCTCTAGGAAGCCCTAGCTCTGCCCTGCATTCAAGCTAATTTATTATTTTTTTTGCTTACCTGAGTCTCAGGATCATACAGCATTACAGCAGGAATATGAGTAAGCTGGGAAACAAAAGGTTGTCAGTCTCGGTGACCAGCCTTGTCAGTTAGCTGTGTTTTTTATCTTTTCCACCTATGTAAATGTGCGCATATTTATATAGTCAAGAAACTTATCTGATTGGGAAGGGAGTGGACATTTGCAAAACAATGATTTATGACAATGTTCAGACAGGTATAATCCTTATCCTTGTGGAGATTGCATTCTGGTAAGAATAATTTTAAAGAGGAGCCCTCCCTAGTGGCACGAGTAAACTGCAGCACTGTGAAACTTCACAGCCACTGCAGAATGAGTTCGATCCTTGGCCAGGGAGTGACCCATAGGGCGCAGCAGACTCCTGTCTCCCCACTGCTCCCTACAGCACCCATCTGTTCTGCTCCCCGCTCTGTCTCTGGTGAATCCTCTCACCCCCACACCTCTGGCCTGTATCCCAGTTCTTATATGCACAAATAAATAAATAATTTTTAAAGAACTAAAAAATGGGTATCATTTCACTTGAATGGTGATTGACCTTTGTGAAATACCCTTTCTATAGCTCTTGATGTTTTTAATTTTCTTTTTTTAAAGATTTATTTATTTATGCATACAGAACTGGGATACAGGCCAGAGATGCTGGGAGAGGCAATGAGGATTCACAAGAGACAGAGTGGGGAGCAGAACAGGCAGAGCTACTGAAACTCACTGAGGGGAGCAGCAGGTGGGACAGGAGAGGTCTGCTGCGCCCTGTGGGTCACTCCCTGGCAGGGGATCAAACTCCTGCTGCAGTGACTGAGGATGGCTCCATAGTGCTGCACTCTTAACCCACTGAGCCGCCAGGGAGGCCCCCCTCTTTCATTTTCTTAATGTGGTGTGTGACCTTTATTGATTTGCATATGTCAACCCACTTTTGCAGCCCAAGGATAAATCCCACTTGACCCTAGTGTATGATGCTTTCAATTAATATGCTATTGAATTTGGTTTGATAGTATTTTATTGAGGAGCTGACAGGTCTTTCTGTCACTGTACTTTACAACAGAATTTTCATTTGGCTATTTTTTTTCATATTTTCTTTTTATCACTATTTGGAGGGGGCGTTTTCAGCATACTTTTATTTACATATTTAACCATTTTTTCCTTTAGTTCTGTGAACATTTTAATAATGACTGCTTTGAATTTTTTTCTGTTACTGGCAGGTTCTGTTGCCTGCTTCTCAGATGTCAGTTGAAATTTCCTGATTCTTTCATGTCTCATATTTTTTCTTGAAACTGGACATTTTACGTAATATATTGTAGCATCTCTGGATACTTGTCGCTCCTATTTGGTACTTGTTATTTAGTCACTGACTGGATTATTTTAGTGAAGTGTATTTCACCCCACCCCATACTCAAATGGTGTGAAGATCTTGTTCTGTCTCCCTTTATATAAGTAAAGCTTTGTTTCTTCAAGTGCTTGGCTATATTGTGGTTCCTTGACGACTCTGATACCAAGCTAGAGACGCCATGGCGGTAAAGAAACCCCATTTGCCTATTTAACTGGCCCACTGTTCACCGTATTATGAAACAAGGTGTGTTTAATGAACATGTAGCTTGTGCCAGTGTTTTATTATTACATCTGTACTACACAAACATCCTGTGCACATGACTTTGTTAACATTTAAGAATATCCCTGGCCCCTCCCTCATGGTGCAGTGGGTCAGGACACAGCCCTGCAAGCTGGCCGCAGCCGCTTCAGTGTGGGTTCCATCCCTAGACCAGGAGGTGACCCACATGGCGCGGCAGACCTCTCCTGGCCTGCCCGCTGCTCCCCTCAGCAGTGTACTTCTTCGATCTGCCTGTTCTGCTCTCCACTCTCTCTGTGAATCCTCTCACCGCCTCTGGCCTGTCCCCCAGTTCTGTATGAATAAATAAATAAATCTTAAAAAATATTACCCCTAATACCTAAATATGCTACTGAGGCACAAGCACAGGACTGGACTCAAGGATAAAACTGCTTTTCCCATGGACTGGTAAGCAAGAGATCAAAAACCCTGGTGACTGCACCCTTACTGCAGCTGCCAATGTACTTTCCCTTGGTCCATGGTTTTTATTACTAACTTCCCTCCAGCCTGGACATTCATGAGTTCTCTTTACAGCTTTTCAGGTTGGCTACTGCGGAGAAAAGGCATTGTAGATCAAGAAGAGAAGAATCAGACCGTGAGTCCTGCTCACGCTGGAGTTGCAGGTACAAGCCCCTTTGAGAAGGTCGTGAGCCCTGCCTAGCCACCCAGTTGTAGCTGAGGGGTGCGCCTGATTGGCAATAATAAGTGGGCTTCAGCCAGGTCTGCTTACTTGCTGTCTTAGCCAATCTTTAATTCCTTTGTTCTCAAACCCCAGCTCTAAGCCCCAGGTAGACCCTAGCTCTAGCTCCTCAGGGAGTCTCTCGTGCCAAGGGAGGCTCCCCAGCGCTCGATGCCTTGCTTTTTGCTAATCAGTGAATGCTGATTCCTTGCCCGCCTTCGTCAGTGTCTGCGGAGTCTGCGTTGAGTTCTGACTGATGCGTCTCGAGCCCTCTGCCTGACTGGGAGCAGGACCTGGGTCGGTCCCGCTGGTTCCTGGTGGATGGAGCAAGTGGAGAGTGCCCTGACTCACCTGCGCAGCCTGCTTCCTTGTCCAGGACATAGCCTCCATTCTCTCATTGTGCGAATATTTGCTTCCTTTCCTTTTGGCTCGAGGCTTGCCTATGTGGCTTGTCTTAATCGGTAAAACATGACTAACATGACAAGCTCTTTAAATATGCTTCTTGCATTCCTCTAGTCACCCCAAGAAAAATCTGCCAAGTAGCTGCTGCCCCTTTGTTCCAAGATCCAAAAAGCAACATGTGAATCAGATCTGGATTCGTCTGAGGCCTAGAATGGAGTTGAGCCAAGTCAGCCAGGAATTTAAGTAATTCCTTAACTTTGTCAAATGTTTATAATTGTCTTGAGTTTTGTTTTTTTTTTTTTAGATTTCTTTTCACCAGGCCTCTAAATAGGCATATCACAATTGGTGACACCCTTAACTGTCATTTAGACTATTAAGTACCCACTATATTTTGTTCACAACTGTAATATGTGGAAGAAATAGGAACTTGCCCAGCAGAGTCTCCCCTAGTCAGGATTTTGTTAACTGCAGCTCCATGGTGTCCTTTAGCGTTTTCCTCTATCTCCAGTATTTTCTGTAAAATAGAATTTGGATCTAGACACTAAGATTTGAATTCAGTTTCTTGGCAAGAGCATATCTTAAATGGTTCTTCAATAAGAAGGCATGATAGCTGGAGGTCTGTCTCTGATGTTGGCAAGAATTGATGCTTACTGCTAAAATCAATTAAATTGTTATGTGTTATTTAAGTTGATTACTCGACTTAGGTGATTTGCAAGATAGTAATTATTTGATTAACCTTTTAAAAATTATTCACTGATTAGAATGTTTCTAGAAAGTATTTGGTGCCCCAAGAGTGTGTAGAAAAGACAGCATTTAGATTGTTTTACTTTGTTTACATGTGTTCAAAATGACAAGCTATTTCAATTAGTGTATCATTTCCAATGGTAACTACTTACTTTCTAAAAGTACAACTATATACAAAAAGATTGAAACATTTATTCTGTCAGTAATTCATATGGATTCTCAAATTATGCAGTCTTCATGAATTTTAATATATTGAGTCTGTCAAGTAATCTGTTTCATCTAGACTATCAGATTCCTGGGCAGAGTTGCTTGTAACATTCCTCTATTACCCCTCAAGTTCACGGGTTAGTTGTGATGGCCACTTCGTGGTTTGTGATTGTAGTTTATGACTTTTCCGGTGCTGGTTAACTTGGCTAGAGGTTTATTTATTGATCTTTTTAAAGAACCAGTATTTTACTTTGCTGATTTTCTCTGTATTTCCTATTTTTAATTCTGTTGGTTTGAGTTTCCTCTTGTAGATGTTAAGGTGGAAATTTAGTGATTTTAGGTCTCTTTTTCCCCCAACATATGCATTCAATACTATAAATATCCCTCTGTGCACTTTCAAAAATGGATTCCACACATTTTTGCTGTTGTATTTCCATTTTTGTCTAGTTTAAAATATTTTTAATTTTGTAACTTGTTGATCTATTTGCTACTTAGAAATGTGTTAAATCTCCAAATGTTTTTGGGATTTTATTGCTGTTACTTCTAAGGTAATTTGTGACTGGAGCATAGAAACTTTGGTTTCTATTCCTTTAAATCTGTTACAAGTTTATGAGGTCTGTCTTGTTAAGTATTTCACATGAGCTTCAAATGTTTTTGTTGTTGTTGTAGAGTGGAATATTCAGTAAGTGTCACTTCTATAGATAGCACATGGTTCTCCACCCCAGATCAGTGGAATCATAGTTTCCAGAGGTGGGCTACAAGTATTGGTCATTGTGGAAACTACTTGGTGTTTCTGCTGTGTTCCTAGTGTTGGGAAACTCTTATGTGGAGAGAGCACTGGCAGAAGGGGCTAACCAGCTAAGTTCTGAGGCACTTGGGCATTTAGAACACTGGCTTTCAATGTGGTTGCCAAGTAAAATCAACTGGGAGCCTTTAAAAATGATGCCTGGATCTCACTTCAAGAAATTCTTTGATTAGAATTTTTCTGGGCCTCAGAAAATCCTCAACACCTCCAGGTGTTATAGTGGACAGCCAGGTTTGAAAGCCACGTACTGTTTAGGACAACACAACATAGACCAGAAGATGACAGGAGCCATCAGCAGGCAACAAGCCAGTGCTGCTTTCTTCTGCTTAAGAAAGTGTTTTATAAAAAGGGGTGATATGTACCACACCACAAATTGGTGTAAGGCCAGCTCGTACTAGAATGTTGGAACTGGGAAGTCAACAGTAGTAGTGAAGTGGTGGGGTTGAAGGAGAGACGGGTGGGTTCAAGAGACAGCACACAAGAGGATGTGACCTACTTTTTGCCCATGTTGATTAGTGAAACGCATACTTGCATTATGTTGCCATGTTTAGTCAACCACTGAGGTTGACAAAACTCGAACATTGGGAAAGAATTTCTATTCTCTATGGTTGACTGAAGTCTTTCCTAATTTTCTAGTTTCTAGCCAGTTTTCCAGCTGGTTTTGAGCTGTTAGAAAAGCATTTGTTCTCATTAACTGGTTATCAGGCTCCTTACTGAGCATTGGGGCAGCTGACCATGGGCATTGCTGGCAAGGTGCCCCTGGATGAGACACTGCTCTACATACAGCCACTGAGGGCTCCTATGTGGAAACCACATGAGGCAAAGGCTTCTCGTGGGCCACCCCAGCAGTGGGGTATGTGCACCTCCCTGGCATGGGGGTGGCGTTGGTTATGGAGAAAACTTGATCAACTGTGTAGCCTGACCAGTGGGCAGGGGACAAGGCCCTCTGACCGTGGCAATTCCCACTCTTTACTACTTGCCCTCACTTTGCTACTAAATGTGAAGTGGCAGCTGGACCTCTGCATAATCACCAAGCGCACTCCACCAGACCTGTGGGAGCGAGTGGTGAGTATTGGCTGCATGCAGCTTTGTCCCTAGGTTTGAAGGGTTGTGTAGGCATGAAATACAAAGTCTGTAAAGAATAATTTTTCTGTGACTGGTAAGTAGTGCATGTGTGCTTTACCTAGGACTTAATTGGATCACAAAATTTGCTTCTTTTAATATTTATAGCACTAAAACAGGGCTTAGAACTGTATTATGGAAAAAATCACGCAAGATAAGGCGCTCCCTAGTGGCGCCGTGGGTTGGAGTGCTGCGCTGCAGAGCTAATCCAAGCTGTGGCTGCTTCAGCATGAGTTCAACCCCCACCCCAGAGGTGACCCACATAGTGCAGCAGACCTCTCCTGACCTGCCCGTTGCACCCCACTGTCTCTGGTGAATTCTCCCACTGCCCCTGCACCTCTAGCCTGTACCCCATTTCTGTATGCATAAATAAAATCTTTCAAAAAAATCACACAAGATAATCCAAAAAATAAAGACCAATAAGCAGAAAATAAATAAAACTATTATTTGCAGGTGGCATACTTTTTACCACAAATCATATCTGAGAAGTTATTGAAAATGAACATGCAGCGAGGTGGCATTTCAAATAACTAAATTTCCTGTGTAAGATTAATAACTACAAAAGTATAATGGAAGAAAATTACAGTAACAAAATTGTATAGAATTTACTTGAAGAAAACAAGAAAAATTTACTCAAGAATTACGCTAAGCTAATGGACACTTACTTCTAGACGGGAAATAAGACTACAGTTTTTCCCAATTATATCAACCAAAATACAAATGTAAAACTTTGAGAAATTTTTTAAAAGATTTATTTATGTATACAAAACTGGGGTACAGGTTCAGGGGCAGTGAGAGGAATCACCAGATCAGAGTAGAACAGGCAGACTGACGAAGTATGCTGCTGAGGGGGCAGCGGGCGAGACAGTAAAGGTCTGCTGCGCCATGCGGATCACCTCCGGGGCGGGGATCTAACTCATGTTGAAGTGGCCACCGCCAGCTTGCAGTGCTGCATCCTATCCCAGTTAGTTGCACCACTAGGGAACGCCCAAGTTTGAGAAATTTTTTAGTCAAACCAGTAAAGAACCTTAAAAGTGATACCGCAGTATTGGCCCCATGAAGGCACCACTACCCTTGTGTCTGTAAAGACAAATGAGGAAATTCTGGGTATCAGGAGGCCAAAGAGAATAAATATACACTACAGTGAAGACAGTAAGTCCTGTCTCTTGGCAGGCAAAGTGAGCTAGCTACTGGAAAAATAGCTTCTAAAACATTTGTGAGGTAGTGACCACCCATTGGCAAAGACCTCATGACTGCTTAGAGAATTAAATATACAGTGTGGTGCTTGACCAGCTGTGGGCATGAACCACCATCTTCCCACTCCTAGGCCTGTCTCTCCTCTTCAGGTTCTTGGGGTTTCCTTCTTAGCAGGGTTTTTCTTAGTTCAGCATAACAACAGTTCGAAGAGCTTTTCCAGTAGTGGGTTTGCGGAGCCAGTCCTGAGCAATCCAAAAATCAAAGATTTTGGCAAGTAAAAGAAAGATGTCTGAGCAATTAACAGCTGGACAAAATATGTAAGAACAGTAAACTCTTTTAATTATATTGTGGAAAGGATTTCTGTAAAACAGTTGCTTTTCGCCAAACTGCAATTTCTGATCAGCTTAAATAACATACAAATGACGCTAAGTCTCTGACATTCAATTGCTGTTTTCCTATTTTCTAAAGAGTAAACAATCCCTTTCAACAATTAAGCCTCAATAGCTGCGGGCTTAACAAATCAGTAGTGTAGTTCTTTCAGGTAATAAATCTTGGATAAGAACTTTTGCATTATTTCTCATAAGTTTGAAGTCCTATATGGAAGAAAGGAAAATAGCTATACTTTTAGTACATGAGTCATACTGTTTACCTTGCAGATAAGCATCTCCAAACTCGCATTCAAAGCCTTTCTCGGGAAAGGGATTGTGACCTGACATTGTTGTGCACATGTGCACACACGCGCATTACTTCAAGTCTGGATGCTGAGGTATAGCCCTTGAGGCAGTTTCCATCCCTGTGAATTTCCTTAAAATCTGAGGTTTCAGCCAAGACAGGTATTTATTCAACTTTGGCCATGAAGAGGCTTTCACATTCCTTATCAACATTTTAGGTCGAGGCAGGCCCATCAGACCTCTCTCGATCCTACTTCTGTTTTCGGGTCTTACATGCCAAGTGGGTTTTTTCATGCCGGGTACAGTTTGACAGTCGACCAAATCTTCTCCCACATCTTTTGCAACCATAAGGCCTCTCAGCCTCATGACTCTCCAGGTGAAGTACAAGTTCTTTATTCCCTGGGAAGGTTTTCCCACACTCTGGACACTTAAATATCCTTCCCCTTATATGGATTCCTTCATGGCGACTACGATGAGAATTTTGACGAAAGTTTTTCCCACACTGAGAACATGAGTAAGGTTTCTCCCCTGTATGGATTCGTTCGTGTTTATTAAGGTTTGTTTTATGATTGAAGCTTTTCCCACAGTGACTACAGTCATAAGGTTTTTCCCCAGTGTGAGTCCGCTGGTGGGAAATAAGATAGGAACTTTCATTAAATTGTTTTCCACACACTGGACAAGTGTACCATCTTCTGGTTCTCCGATTTCGCGTAAGTGCTATAACACTGATGTCCACGTATTTGGAGAGTTCCTCTAACGGAGTATCATTTTCAATGGTAACTAAAAGATCTTTCACTTTCCTTTCCTTTGGAATGTATGTTAGTCTTTCTTCATGGCCATTTGGAGGTTGCTCAGAGACCATGGAACAATCTATTTCATCACAGTCCGATGACTCTTCTCTATGATCTTCATTAGCTACAGCTTCCTTCTGAAGATCTTCAACATCAGAATTACTGTTAACTGCTACAACAGAACCAATGAAATAACGTTTGAGAAATATGACATCAGCAAGAAAATACTCATGTTTCTCATGAAACAATAACCTTGAAAGTCAAAAATTTGATGGCAGATAATTATCAATATTCCTTCTTAAACGGGGTTGAATATGTAACTAAATCTTTTCATCCCCCATAATGCAGGTACACAGGCCTTTTTACTTTTTTCCCCCAATATGAGTGGAACTATCTTAAGAGCCTTAATGTTTGTTTTCTGAATGGGAACCAGTTACTCATGCAAGTTCACACTGCCTTATATGTTGCACAGTGCACTGAGCTAAGTATTACAGGACGCAGGGCATAAATATTAAAGGGCACCACCTGTGATCTTTCGTAGATTACACCAAGATGTATTTCTTTCAGGTTTTTATTACATAAAGCAGTTTAGCATTAGATAATATTAGAATATCCTTTACGGTGAAAAGCACGATAATTTAAGCAATCAAAAATAAAGCAGACACACCATATTCACATAACAGATTATTTGGGCGTTAAAGAAACCACTGTAACTGACTATATAAATCGACCACTCAGATGTAGTTGGTCTTAAAGCTGGAATGTGAATCTCTGCAAGACTTAATAGTTCCACACCAATAGATTTCTTTTAAATTATTTTCAGAAGGAAAATGCTGATCAAAGCACATGTCAGTTTTTATCACCACCCTAGACCTGAACTACCACACTGCTTTCCAGATAACTTGTATCAATTTCTTTTTTCTAAAGAAGTTTATTTATTTTCTTTGCCTAAAACAGGCTTATAGGCCAGAGGTGCTGGGTGTATGTGACAGAGAGGATTCACCAGAGACAAGAGTGGGGAGCAGAACAGGCAGATGTTCTTAAATACACTGCAGAGGGGAGCCGTGGATGAAACCAGAGAGGTCTGCCATGCCATGTGGGTCACCTCCCTGGCTGGGGATTGAACTTAGGCTGTAGCTGTACCAGTGCTGAGATTCAACTCTTAGGCCACCGGGGAAGCCCAGCTACACCAATTTTAATACAACCAACAACATGTGGTAGTATCAATTTTACTTAACCAATTTTACCTATCTTTCCAACATTAGATATAACCAAAAAATATTTAAAATACTTAACCTGTCAATCATAGATTTTTAAAAATTGAAATATCCTACTCTAGGCCCCTCAGTGGCACAACGGGTTATGATATAGCACTGGGAAGCTATCACAGCCACTTCGGCATGAGTTTGATCCCTGGCCAGGGAGGTGACCCACATGGCATGGCAGACCTCTCTGGTTTCATCCACGGCTCCCCTCTGCAGTGTATTTAAGAACATCTGCCTGTTCTGCTCCCCACTCTGTCTCTGGTGAATCCTCTTACCCCTGCATCTTTGGCCTGTAA